CTTTTGAGTTTTTCCTCAAGATTATTGCTTTTTACACGATTCTTGGTCTCGTAATTGTCGACAAAATACGATCGGCAGGTTTTGGTTTTAGAGTAATGAAATATCCCCACATCATTGTTAAGTTATGGTGTATTGCGCTGTGCCATACGTTACCTATTTTGTGCAGAAATTGACCTTATTAAGGGTAGATTTACATGAATCCGTTATTCATCGCTACGTCAATCCGGCATGTTCCAAAATGTGTTTAAATTCTATTTCAATTCCAATCAAATCTAGTTCACTTATGACAGATGGTGGAAATACGAGAGAAAAATTTGAATTTAGGGTAATAAGTTATAGGGTTACATGATTATTACCATTTTCGGCTTCGAAATTGCTGACAAATACGAACGCTATTGAATTTGATTGCACACATGCTGAATGTGTTGATATACCGCTTCTCGGGGTAAGATGCGAAACTCCAAGGATCTTTGAACGCTGCTTTTTCGAAGTATTCGCATCTGAAGGAATTTGAATAAATTTCTGCATTTTTATTTGGCCTGAACAATGCCATAATGTCGTTCCCATAAAAAGATGATTTTGGAAGATATTGAAACTTTGTTTTACTAACTGAGTATGGGATAAAAAATGCAATTTACACCAAATGCAACGGCAACTTTCTTTTAAGTCCCACGGTTGATCATCATTATGCAACGGGTTTACATATTAAGGGAGTTGACTCTCCTTTCTTTGGAATAAAGTTTTCTAAAAATCATAAACATTTTGAATATATTGATAACAATAAATCATGCAATAGTTCCAATTTACACTTCCCTTTACAGGTTTACAGCTTTTACTAGGAATTTGAACCTAACTAGATTACTTTTCGTGGCCACGGTTTTTTTAACTAACCTCAACTCAATGTCAAATAATCATATAGGGGCACACTTTTCTATACAGTCTAATGGGTTCGCTCTCCATAGCTTTAGAGTATACCCCCGAAAGCTGGAGACAGATAGAGTTGTGTGTCTATACCTAATCTAGGTCGTGCTAAGTATGACATGGGGAAGGAATACAGGCCCATCAGTTTCTTCTAAAAACGGTGGAGAGGCTGGAGGATGCATACATAAGGAATGGAGTACTGGTCCTTAGACCACTACATCTATACCAACATGCTTTCGCGGCTGCAATGTAGAGAGGAGATGAGAGGGGAATGTCTGCCAGGGAAGGGAGGAGCCCTGGGAGCGTTTTCAGAAATCGAGTGTGCGTTCAACCATAAGGTGAATCCGCGCTATACTCGGAAACAGAGTCATTGTGTTCTCAATCGGGACGACGGAGGTGAGTTCATCAGTTACTAGACAAGATCCTCCGCACTCTAAACGAGGACGGAGCGTACACACAGGGATACGCGGACGATGTCGCTATCGTCATAACTGGAAGGTTTCCAAACGCAATGAGAGAGATAATTCAGGGGCCAGGGAACATGTGGACAGGTGGTGCAGTAGCCATGGCATCTCCGTTAACTCGGAAGACCGAGGTTGTTCCATTTACGAATAGAAGGGGAGCGGACGTTGATGAGTTCACTCTTCAAGGACGTCAACTGGGCGTGGTCAGGTCATTAAAATGACCTGGAAACATAGGGATGTACAAGGGCTTTTGGTTGTACATGGAGCTTGATCCCTCGACTGGTACTTGGACTTTGCACTGCAGTGATAAGGCCTATAATACTGTACGGTGCACTTGCCTGCCATATGCAGGACAATCTACAGGAAGCAGCTAGGAAAGGTTCAGAAGTCTGTGTAGGAGTCACCGGAACCATGAAAACCACACCAACTTTGGCCATGCAGGCACTTTTGGGACTAAAGCCTTTACACTTAGCTGTGAGGGCAGAGGCTCGGAATACTTCCGTGCGGCTAAATGATTGGAACGAGTGGAGGGGTCGAGGTGCCCTTGGTCAAGGGTAACTCTAGATAGATTAGGTGAGTATAATGGAGTATGTTTGATCTGTGCGCTAGCGCACTTAGAAATAGGGGGCAACGAAGAGACGGATGAATTTGCTCGCCAAGGTAGTGGTGGGGTCTTCGTTGAGCCCAAGCCTACCCTAGGATTAGCTCCCTGTGTTGTCAGGGCCAGGATTAATTATGACAGCGTGACCAGTAAATTCGAGGCTCAGTGGCAACAATCAACCAGACAGACTCAGACACTTCTTTCTGAGCTGGCTTCTTATCACTCCTCCAACAAGACTTGCTGGTGCTCCAAATTGGACCGGAACCCTACTGTGGAGCACCAACAAGTCTAGATGGCGGAGTGATAAGAAGCCAGCTAAGAAAAGAATGGGGATCCTTGTCGGCGCCATTCTGTTATAATAATTCGGGAATTTTTTTGTAAATCCGTAACTTAACGTAATTGATCACGAATTAAATAGGGATGTCATACATTCTTCTGAGACTACCTTGAAAACGCACAAAAGCAACACATAAAGCCGTTTTGAAAGCTGTACTTTAAACGCGTCGTGTGAAACAGCTTTTCACACGCTGAATACTTTACACCCGCTGCTTGAAAGCCAAAGGAATCGATATGCTTTCTATAGAAATTTTGGAGTACATTAAATAAAGATTTATTCCAAATTAAATTAAAATTTCAAAGTGAAAATTGTTAGTTTATTTACTTTCTCAAGTTATTTAGTACAACTCTCAGCAGGTCGCTTGGTGTGCGGTAAATCTAAACCGGTAATCTCGCCTTGGTAAATTCGCCCCCGAAAACTGATGCCAGGACAATTAACCCTCAGAATATGCGCTTCCATAACATTTGTTCCCGGAAGGTTTGTATCTGCGTCGTGTTTCCTTACCGGAAAGTATCCCGAAAGCAAATAATAGTGAGCCGTATTTATATGGGTGTATTTTCCATGGCCAGATTCTTCATGTGACGGATATTCTCGGGCAACCATCTAACCAATTATTGGCAATACAATTGTTAACCATTTACTACATATACATGTAATGTACGGGGTTAAGTGGTAGAGCAGGCTGCTGTATTTTACTGTGGAACTGATCTTTGGCTCATTTCACCAATTCAAATTGTATACATTTTTTTCGCCCATGTAATAAAGGCTCTATAATAATAATAATAACCTCCAAGAGGGAATATACCGGGTTGAACTGAAAATGCGTTTTCTGTTTCCCTTGAATGAAACTTGAGAACTTCTGCAGAGGCATCTCTGAAAAGCATTATGCGGGTCACTCTGTAATTGGTCGCAAGCCTGTTGAGAACCCAGAACAAGAGAGGAGTAATAAATAAATAAATAAACAAATAAATAAATATATACATAAATAAATAAATAAATAAATAAATACATAAATAAATAAGTTACCATCTGGCATCACAAATCCATGTTGTAATTGCGGGTATTTTCCTTAAAATGGAAATATATACGCGAGTTTCAACCGGTTACAGTTAAATGTACTTACACTCAATTGAGCACTGAATTTTTTATATACGCTAAAGAAAAAGGTGTTACATAAAGAGAAGGTACAACAAAAAAGTTATTGATAGTCAGCCGCACTTATGTCGTCTTAGTCCGAGGGAGGCAGTTTGTTATAAAATCTGGGTATCTTCTCCGACTGCAACTCCCTGATCTGCTTATTTTTACATAAAAAAACAAAACGTGCCATTCTGACTTTTTTCAGCAAGCTGTTTTAACACATTACGTACTAACTGGAAACCTTACAGTGGCGTAACATTAATGGGCATTTAGATTGTTCACAACACCCCCTCTCAATCTCAATGCACAATTCAACATACGAACACCAAACAAACTTATATTATTCCATTGTACCTACAAGTACCTCTTTTTCTTACAGAAGTTACACCCCACATTTTTATTTTTAAACCGTCCACCACTTCTGCATTCGTCCTTTTTATGCCCGGATTTACCACAAGAAGAGCACTTCAATTACTTGTCTTGTGTCGTGTGTTGTTTTGCTGTTAATGCAACTGTCTCTTCACCCGAACCCAAACGTTCTTCTTCTATCAGTAACCTTGCACTTAAATTTGTTAAATTACGCTTGTCTTCCGGAAATGACTCCCACGCCGAAACGAAATGTTTATACCGCTCAGGCAAGGACATTAGTATTTTGTGATAACCAAATTTTCTGTATTCCTTTTGTTGTTTCATTTGTGGAAACCAGATTTTGTATCTTCGTTATGAAATCCATGACAAAGCCTTCAAATTTCATATTAAAAAACTTCTGCTGCAGTAAGTGTACACTAACGTTCGACTGTCTTTCTTATATCGACTCCAGTTTTGTCCACGCCGATTCACACATTAATACATGAGAAAGAGGACCTGACTCCATGCGTATTACTAACACTTCCTGTGCCTTCGCTCACTCTTTCATTTCCTTCCCTGTGTGTTCCCCAGCGAGTGGTTTTGCAATTCCTACATTTACATCATGAAGTTCCTTGGCCGTAAGTATTACCTCGATTTGAAACTTCCACACGTTCCAGTTACTCTTGTTTAGCTGTATAAATTGGGTCACCACATGTTGCTCCATTTTATTTTTTACTGCCCTTTCGTTTTAGAACGTATTTCCCTCTGTAACAGTTTTATACACCAGTTTGGACTGGGCCCATAACCTGAGGCAGAGTTGGCCTTTTTCAAGTATAACAACAGTAATATTATATCGTAATTTGTTAAAGGAAACGAAAAACTGTATTTTTACATAAAAAACAAAACGTGCTTTTTCTGACTTTTTTCAACATGCTCTTTTAACGCGCCCCCTTACGTACAAACTGGAAACCATAGAGTGACGTAACATTAATGGACATTTAGATTGTTATTGTTCGCAACAATACAGTCCATCAGTCTCCCTCAAATGGAAATATAGTCTCATATCATTTGAACTTATTCGCAAAATGATAATAGTTTTCTTCTCATCTTCTTGCTTGTCCGCTTGAACTTATTTAATTCCATCGGAATATAAAACTCGAATAAAGCTCACAACTTTTTCGTTATATTTCAGGATTACCTCAGTGCTGGATTGACCTAAAACCGTGGCAATGGCGCGTGTACATGACACTGGTGGCTTTGTCGCTGTTCTTTGTACCTGCCGTTATAATAAGCGCATGCTACGCCGTCATCGTATGGACAATTTGGTCAAAGAGTAAATTACTAATTCCAATAGGTCACGTATCCGTGCGACAAAGTAAGTATTATTAATGGCCCGTAGCGAACTGAATTAAAATTTATTACGCTCCGCAGGCGAAGACAATATTAGCAGAAGTAGAAGTTTCCGAGAAGATCTCGATACGCGACGAGCCAGCTCGCGAGGAATCATCCCGAGGGCAAAAATTAAGACTGTTAAAATGACATTCGTTATTGTATTCGGTAAGCTAATTACGCCTTATGCAAGCCGTTTTCTTTGATTGCATTTTTCAGTGTTTGTCATGTGCTGGAGCCCTTACATTGTATTTGATTTACTTCAAGTGTACGACTACATTCCCACAACGCAGACGAACATAGCAATTGCCACGCTAATTCAAAGCTTGGCACCTTTAAATTCGGCCGCAAATCCAGTAATTTATTGTCTGTTTTCCACGCACATGTGTCGACATTTACGGTAAGCCTTGTTACATTTTTCATTTCTCTTTGCACAAACTAACCCATTATTCATTGTCTTGCACTACCACTACATCGCCGTTCACTAATCCCCCACAATTGATATCTTTCTGCACATAACGCGAATTTATGTTTGTATTATTCAGTAAATTGCTTGGCGTTCCTTTTAGTCAGTCGCTTGTCCTTATAAATTAACAATCCTTTTTTTTCAATTTTGGAGCTCCAACACAGGGTTCGGTTTGGGATGGCATTAGTCGGTAAAGAAGTATGAATATTTCGATTTCTTTTCAGATTATATTCGTCAAAATTAGGGAATGCAATACCGGAATCGCGGGATCCCGAAATACCGGGATCCCGCAGCATTTTTGCGGGATTAATCCCGCACATAAATTGAGCGGGATCCCCCGGGATTTGCGGGACTGAGGAATTTGTCGACCAAGTGGACGACTCTGTTTACTTTGTTAATGAAACGCATAAGGGAGAAGTTATTTTTTATATAATTGTTAAACTTTTTTCGTTAAAAATTTACTAAGATTTTTGAGGCACTTTAGAAGTTCACCATTTTGTGCTTTACAGGTGAGGTTTTTTTGAGTTCTAAGTTAGGCCGAAGGTACTTTTTTGTTAAATATTGTGATAATTAACGACTTATTTTAATGCAGAAGTTAACCGCACAGAATTGCTTAGATGCCAATTTATTTCAAGTTTTGCGGGATCCCGCAAATACCGGGTTCCCGCGGGATTAACATCTAGCAATCCCGCAAAAACCGGGATTGAGATTTTGCTGCGGGATTGCATTCCCTAGTCACATTCTATAAGAACATTGTTTTTCCGGATCGATCAGACACAATTTTTTTTTCGGGGCTCAAAAAAATGCGGTGTATAACCTTCCTTTTTTTACCAAAAATTGACTGCACCAAAATTTCTCGGGAAAACACTTTTTCTTATTAATTTTAGTGCGTAGTATCCAAAACAATTCGTACTTTTTCGATCAGACTTCTCAATCAAAAGTTATAGACTAGAAATTTCGAAAGTTAACTAGGGAATGCAATACGGATCGCGGGATCCCGAAATACGGATCCCGCAGCATTTTTTGCGGGATTAATCCCGCACATAAATGGAGCGGGATCCCGCGGGATTTGTGGGACTGAGGAGTTTGTCGACCAAGTGGACGACTCTGTTTACTTTGTTAATGAAACGCATAACGGAGAAGTTATTATTTATATAATTGTTAAAAATGTACTATGATTTTTTGAGGCACTTTAGAAGTTCACCTTTTTTGTGCTTTACAGGTGAGGTTTTTTTGAGTTCTAAGTTAGGCCGAAGGTACTTTTTTGTTAAATATTGTGATAATTAGCGACCTATTTTAATGCAGAAGTTAACCGCACAGAATTGCTTAGTTGCTAATTTATTTAAGGTTTTACGGGATCCCGCAAATACCGGGATCCCGCGGGATTAACATCTAGCAATCCCGCAAATACCGGGATTGCGATTTTGCTGCGGGATTGCATTCCCTAGTCAAAATCAATCTCAATTAATTTTGCTGTCCATCCCTTCCAGCTCCAAATTCTATTATAATCTGGATTTATGGAATTCGTGGAATATTTATTGCGATTTTGGACTTTGTGCCAGTGTCTTGAATTTCCAATTCGTACCAACCGTGTAAAAATTGTGAAAACCACACGAACGTTAATGTTCCCGATAGTATCATAAGTCAGACACGTACCTTAAGTGAATTTTGAGTTTACAGCTAAAAGTATTGAGGTTCAATACTTTTTCCTGACTTTTATGTAAATAGGTAACTATGTATTTCCTATGTTGTAGCATCCCTTAACATATGGCCATCCTTATTCGAGTTAAAAGAGGTTAAAATTTAACAAAGGAACGTCATGAATTTTTATCAAAAGAGTCCACTCATGGTTATCCAAAGTGGTGATGTTGTACCTAAAGAATAGGATTTACCTAGGTAGATAAATGCCCTTATGCAATTAATAGCCCAGTAACCTAGAGTTGCATTAAGTGGGGCTAGCAGGTTTCGTTTTTTTTTCTGCTATGGAACGTGACTTAGATGTAAAATTCAAGTTTACGAACTCAGGAAACCCAAAAACTGCACTTTTCACTATTTTAGGTGTTTTCCCATTTTCGTCATGAAGGCGCACGTTTTCAACAAAGACCATTCCTCATATTTTTAAACTAGATTCAATTTACTACAATTTCAGGTCAGAATGGGCTCCGTAGACCTATGTTTCCAAGATACAACTTTTCAAAGTTTAAAATTTTTTGCTAATTTTCATGTTTCATCATTAGTCCAGTCAAATTAGCTCCAAAAGTAGTCTAAACTAGCTGATGTTGTCACTTCACTCAACGAGACCTAGTATATTCTACTATTCTACGTAAAAAAATTCGCTGAATTCTCCTGGGCGGAAACCCCCGGAACATATTGTTATAAACAAAAAACGAAGTAAAAACGGGAAAACGTCGAAAATGAAGAGAAATGAATTTGTTTGAAATCGAATTTTCTATAAGATACAGTTGGTATTGAACGTTCATTTTCAAATGTAATTTTGCTTTACGGAACAATATAAAAAAAGGAATCCCGAACTATCTGTTTTTACTGAGTTAACATTTATTGGTCTAAGACAAAGCATTGTTTTTTTGATTTGTTTATTTAATTAATCAATGGCTATGATACGCTGATCGGGTTTGTCATATTGTTTTGTTATCAAAAAAAAGTGACCAAATACGGATTTTCAAAAAGATCGGATGAATTTTACTTAGTAGATTGCTAATTTTCGAGATTACTTTTTAAATTTTTCCATAAAAAACAAAAATATTTGAAACCTGACCGATACCGTGAATAGCCGTTAAGGAATAGACGCTGTAATAATTGGCCGTACCGTGATCTGACCGTGACGTGACCGATAATGTGAATCGGGCTTAAATCGCCGCATCGCAAATGGGTAATAAACGAGAAACTGCATGATCAATACAGTTTTTGGGATATTCAAAAGTGACCCGAGGGTCTTTTGAGGTTGGAAACATGGATTTTGCATCTCAGTCTTATTCTATATAAGAAAAAAACTAAATCTACTACCCTCACTTGATGCTACACAGACCCCCTTTTTTTTGACAAGGTTATAGCGCAGAGCGCTACAGGGCGAATACCCAAAATCTAAACTTGCTTGAGGAACTAGAAGAAACCCTTCACTTCCCACCACTTCCTTGCAATCATACAATGTAGTGCATGCATCCCGCTCATCTTCTAAACAACACCAATGTTTTACGTGAAATAACACACACAACACCGCTTCAATTTTCAGAACTTCTCGCATGACACGTTATAACTAATCCAAACTTAACATAAAACGTTATTGTCACGTTAAAACGTGTATGTACGTATCTCCCTCATATTCTCATACTCCTTCACGTAGAAAACTTCCTCCCTGTACGTGGATCTCGAGTTGTGTGTCGATGTGTTTCCCTGACATGCAAGGTTCTGGTCACTGCCTAGGATACGGAAATGGTGACTCGTCAGGTACCGTAACCACGTCTCTAACCCAATCATCGAGGAGATCGGGCTCGGCGGCCTCTCTACGCCACACCATCAGATACGGCGTCCAGCCGACATTGAACAATGGCCACAAGGTCGCGATATCCGTCGTCTAGTCTAGTCATTATAGTTGTAAATACGGAAACTGTGTTACAAAATAATACGTAATAACTTTATTGTATATTTTTGTATAGCGAGTAGACGTACTTAGCAAAGTTCTTGTAATGGATAGGTGCTTAAGACTGATCTGATCCAATTACCTTCATTTTACCACAGTCATGCTCATTTCAATCACTCACACACTGTTTGTAAATTACGTGATCGAAAGCGATTCGATCAAAGCAATGTGTTCGTCTCAAGTCAGTTTGTACATACCGTTATACTGGTTCAAATCTTAGTGTTGAGATCGATGTTAAATGGAACGCCTTAAAATACAGTTGCCAAAATTGATAATAATCCGGAAGGTTTTGAAATTCAGAATAATAATTGAATATGTACAAAGAACTATTTTATCTCGTACCTAAAATAGGTTTGCTCATCGGAATAGGAAATACGTTTATGTTCTTCAACGGAATTGTGTTTCGTAAGATGACAAAACAGAATAGTATTATATTTTTGCTGCCGACTTCTATATAATGTGTACATGTGATATAAATAGACAAAAAGTGTATATAATGAATGTATATTTTGTACCCTTAAATAATAATTGTAATAAAATTAATGTTTTCTATCGATATTTTATTGGCAAGCAGATGTCGACCATTATGGAATCGAGTAATACGTCATATTCATAGGTAAGTGGACAGTATTTAAGTAGACCAATTATTTGTACTGAAATAGGGCCAAAAATATTTTATTTTTCATTTGCCTATTAATATGCCATTTATATCATTCTGTCATATGAGATATATAAAGCAGTCTATGTGCCCGAGGGCATAATGAGCGCTCACGGCAAGTTTGTTCTCTCAGGGAAAGTTTATTTCCTGCCAATTCCTAGACGAACCGCGATGTGGAAATGTTTTACATTGTCTCGGAGTCGAACTTTAGAAAAAAGAACAGTTTTAAACTTTTACTGTAGGTATTAACGAGCTCCTAGTGAATTCATAATTTTGCGATGTCTGCCCCTGTCCCTTAACTGGACTGCAAACTGTCTTTTGTAAAATTAAGAATTTTAACTTTGCCATGTGTTTTCATTTTGCATTCAGTTGTGCACGTCCACAAACATGGTATTTTAAACAGCACCACTTGTTCTACAATTCATAGTCACAATACAAGAACGAGAGAGAACTTATATATTCCTTTTAAGAGAATGTCAAATCTATTTACATGTCTTATAAATTATACAATAAATTGCCATATATTTGGCGCACACTTAATGAATTCAGTCTCAAAAGTAAAATTAAAAGTTATTTGCTAAACAATCCTTTCTACCACTATGAAGAATTCTTAAATAGTACCATCTGTGATAAAGTGTGATATAGTACATTGAAAGACAAGTGTTACAATGCGACTTATTGTAATACGACTATCTTGTGGCACGAGTGGCGACGCGAAGCGTAGCCACGAGTGTCCGCAAGATAGGAGTATTACAATAAAGCATTGTAACACGCGTTTTTCATACTATTTTTTTCTATTTCGGTGCTTTAATTTAATTAAAAAAATCATTATCAGAAACTATAGGGAACATTAGAACTAACATGTTTTATGTTGGGAACACTTTTTATGCCGTTAAGTTTTAGGTTGGCAGCGTAGTAAGACTGACATTTTGAAGTTCAAACATGGAAGTACTCAACGAAGTACCTACTTGTACTTACTAGTAACTGCCAACTTAAGAGATGAGTTACCAAAAAAAACGACTATAATCACTGTCTTTGTACAACTGTTTTCGACCGAAAACAGTTGTACAAAGACAGTGATTATAGTCGTTTTTTAGCGCATTTTTGCAAAAATTTTTTTTTGTAAAAAGTAGCTTTTAATCTCACTTTGGCTGGCTGGCTGGCTGGTCGGCTGGCTGGCTGGCTGGCTGGTAAATGCGCGCCCGTAGAAAAACGCTTGTAAAAAGACAAGGAGTGTACATGTAACTATCGGGGCCGTGTAATTAAGAACGTTAGGGATGGGGCTACAAGATTTGGAGTCGACGACATCTGGACGCCATCCCCGAGCGTATTATACTAACCTGGAGATTTTTCAGTTTTTATCTATCTTCTTCTACAGTTTTTCTCCGATTGTTTTCAAATTGGTGTCGTCGGGAAGATCTTGTCAACGCGCACAACTCCTGCGTGGCGGAATTTTGTTTTTTTTTTTTCCTAGGGGCGACATAAACCACCTTTTGCGCGGCGCGCTTCGAGGGGTAGCCGACTTTGGGCGCCCAAAAGTTTCTTACAGCGCGAATCGCGGTCTCTCTTTCTCGTGTCACTAATAGAAGGTCGAGCTATGTGAAGTACCCAAAAGTTGAATACGATTTTATGCCGGGATTTTTAGCGAAATCTACCAAAATGTGAATTACGAATGAACGGGACATCGGAACTGTGTATCGACAAAGGGAATGTGGTAACCCCCGACGAGATCTTACTGATGGTGGAGTCGAAACTTCAAATCCGAATTGTTGCGGGTGATCAGAAGTGGGTGTCGACAAAGGGAATATGGTAACCCCAAAGGATTTTAATGATGGTGGAGTCAAAACTTCAAACGCGAATTGCGAGTGCACGGTAAGTGAGAAAATGGTACCGACAAAGTGAACGTGGTAGCTTTCGGCAAGATCTTATTGATGGTGGAGTCAATATTGGCTAATAAAACACTGATCTGCCACACAAAAATGCGCTGAAGTCCCTTCAATCTCACACGAGGACTTTGATCATTTTTTTGGTAACTCATCTCTTAAGTTGGCACTTACTAGTTAGTACAAGTAGGTACTTCGTTGGGTACTTCCATGTTTGAACTTCAAAATGCCAGTCTTACTACGCTGCCAACCTAAAACTTAACGGCATAAAAAGTGTTCCCAACATAAAACATGTTAGTTCTAATGTTCCCTATAGTTTCTGATAATGATTTTTTTAATTAATTCAATTAAAGCACCGAAATAGAAAAAATAGTATGAAAAACGCGTGTTACAATGCTTTATTGTAATACTCCTATCTTGCGGACACTCGTGGCTACGCTTCGCGTCGCCACTCGTATTACAATAGGTCGCATTGTAACACTTGTCTTCCAATATACTATTAATGTATTCTATGTAGTTTGTCATATCATATTATATTGTCCATGTTTTTTACTTTACACAACTGTTATATTTGTACCTATATACTTATACTTTATATATTTTTGACAATTGTAAGTACATCTTGTATAATAACAAGCAAATATATTATTTATTTATTTATTTATTTATTTAAACAAGTGGATTACGATAAAATCTTGCAGATGGATTCTTTATCAAATTTGTAGATCGGAGTTCGTGACCTAGCAATTGACCTAAATCAAAAAGTACGGAACGCCCTTTTGGCATGTTGGTTAATTATGATCCGAATTGCTTGAAATTCGAAATGGGCATAGCTATAACCATACAGTACGCAATGTCAACTCTAGCCAAACCCAGGAGCTCCTTTATTTTTTTTACGGACACTTGCGGGGGGCCTAAGCTGTATTAATACTATTTATTAATCCCCAGAATAACCAGAATGCTTAACATTAATTCACAATATTTGCCCGAGGGTAAAAAATGAAAAAAAAAAGGGAAAGGCAGGTATACGAGGAAAATCAGGGACGTTCAGCTCTTCCTTTTATGTCTAAGAATAGTGTAGCAGATTTGGTTTCTATGGTTCAGCCGTTTAGCTGACAGACCAAGATCATGGAGATTCGGATTCCTGGTTCACTTCAGAAAATGTAAAATAGAGGGGGGGAGGCGGGTCGTTTCGTACTCCAATACGGGTGGTAAAAACCGTTATTGCAGTTAGAAAGGCCATCATCTGCTTCCGTCTGTAATATATGCCTTATGCATATGTGTAGTCGATTTTTTGTAAAAAAGGAAGGTTATACATTGCCTTTTTTTGAAACCCGAAAAAAAAATTGTCTGAGATCGACCGGGAAAAAAAATTTTCTGATAGATTTTGCCCTGTAGAATCCATAATTTCAAACAGTTCCAAGATTGGGCTACTAGTTCAAAAGTTACAGCCCTTTGAATTTTCTTTCGAAATTGGTTTCTAGTCTATACCTTTTGATTGAGAGGTCTAATCGAAAACGTACGAATTGTTTTTGATTCTACGCACCAAAATTAATAAGAAAAAGTGTTTTCCCGAGAAATTTTGGTGTAGTCGATTTTTGGTAAAAAATGAAGGTTATACACTGCCTTTTTTAAGACCCGAAAGAAAAAATTCTCTGAGATCAACCAGGAAAAAACTTTTTCTGATAGATGTTGCCCTGTAGAATCCATAATTTCAAACAGTTCCAAGATTAGGCTACTAGTTCAAAAGTTACAGCACTTTGAATTTTTTTGTCGAAATTGGTTTCTAGTCTATAACTTTTGATTGAGAAGCCTAATCGAAAAAGTACGAATCGTTTTGGATTCTACGCACCAAAATTAATAAGAAAAAGTGTTTTCCCGAGAAATTTTGGTGCAGTCGATTTTTTGTAAAAAAGGAAGGTTGTACACTGCCTTTTTTTGAGACCCGAAAAAAAAATTGTCTGTGATCGACCGGAAAAAAACTTTTTCTGATAGATTTTGGCTTGTAGAATCCATAATTACAAACAGTTCCAAGATTGGACTACTAGATCAAAAGTTACAGCCCTATGAATTTTTTTTCGAAATTGGTTTCTAGTCTATAACTTTTTATTGAGAAGTCTAATCGAAAAAGTACGCATCGTTTTGGATTCTACGCACCACGATCTATCAGAAAAAGTTTTTTCCCGGTCGATCTCAGAGAATTTTTTTTTCGGGTCTCAAAAAAAGGCAATGTAAAACCTTCCTTTTTTACAAAAAATCGACTCCACATAGTTTACCCTAGTAGTCAAAAACCCGAATAAATCCCAAAATCTCCCCCAAAACTAATTCTCACTATTTTCTTACTAAGTACTGTCCCTTTTTAGTATAACGGGTAGTAACTAAGTCCACCATGTTTTTGAATTGTGCCAAATGGAATCGTATATTCAAGCACAGAAGAAAGATACTGGCTAACTATCGAAATCTTGCTAACTAATATCCTCCTGATTAAGATAGTGATCTAATGTGAGCTAGCAAGTGCAACGCAATAGCACTAATTGTAATATAAATGCTAGACAACTCGGCTTGAGAGGTTTCCGAAACCCATTAAAAAACAATGTACTATTCAATGTAAGGACACATCACATTTCGATCGCAGTTAATAAATTTATCTTTTGAAAAACCAATCCAACCCGCTCAATTTCAATGCTCTGTGAAATTTCTATGATGCGATACCCAAACGGGTCTATTCTTAGAAGTTCCAAAATCTCTAACTTTACAACGAAATTTCGAAAAATTTAAATTCATGAGAGCTACCGTTACACATCGTCACGCTTTCTGCTGTGTTTTGGTAGTCTGGTAATCATACCAACGTAATTTTTCGGCATTTTGTCGAGGTTATACTTCAGAAATGATATTTTCCAATTTATCGAAGCGAAGTACCTATACTTATAGAATTTAGGGGCAACGCTGTAATAGCCTTTATTATAATTTCTGATAGTTTGTCTGTGACTCTTAATATATTCATAGCGCAATTTTTTTCACTTCTGCCACCTGTCCAGGGTTACGTCGTAACACAACGCATAATTTTATATCTCCAGAAAGTAGTACATTTAGCACTCAAACAAAAGCAGCGTTTTTTAAACGCCAACTTTCCAGAAAAATCTTGGAAACTATGTATAATGCTTTTCGTGTAATTTTCCTTATTTTCTTTCTTCGTTACAGTACTGGGGGGCCTATGTACATTTCGTACTTTACTCCCAGGTTGGCAAGGGGTTAGGAATTCAATAAATATTCCTCCACTAATAATCTCATTATCCTCATAATCTAAATTTGGAAAAATACTAACCCAAACTTATCAGGCATCCTATAATGTAGCGATAAATTAGCTAAAATTTTAAGGACGACTGCAATCAATAAAAGGTTGTTATTGGAAGAGGAGATTTGCATTTTGTAAGTTTCATACTAAATCTTTCACTCTTCGAACCGCAACCTTTCCCAGCGAAAAAACTTGTGCTTTACCAATATTGCCGAACAACATAAAACGTATTCGTGCGTAAAAGATAAATATTATTTCTCTCCGTAAGAATATTGCCCACGTATGTACGCTTCCTTGAATCACAACGATAATTTTGAAAGACGCACGGTAATCAATTTTCCTAGAGACGGTGCTGAACCACCATTTTAACAATGGGCCTGTCACTTCTTTCGGTTTCATTATGAAATATGTCTTAGAATCAGCGTCTATTCAACAGACCAAAGTAATTTTCTCCCTAAATTTCGTCTCTGATCATATGGAACGTAAGGGGCTCAATTTGGCTTTTATTGACTTGAAATGCGGTGGATTATTTGGCATAGTACGTTTCCGCTTTATTCAGAGTCTGTTATAAATTTGTTAAACACTTCCTAAAAGGATACCCGCGACTATGAGGCATAATGTAGTATTTATATTTGCAAAATAGGGACTTGCATTTGTAAGAGAAACGTAGGGGAAAATGTTACCATAATCGTAATGGAAAATACTGATTGCAATGAAGTCGATATTATAAATAATTAATAGACATACCAAGGATGATCAAATTCATTTTCTAGAAGATTTTTAATCTTCAACGTGCTCTTTACTACGTGGAAACAAACGAGATTGAAAGAACAATGAAATAACATTCCGGCAGACTGAAATTACATGTCATTATTTTTTATTATCCAATTCAGCTATGTTGACAATGTGAAATCCTTGACTGGAAGACGTGAAAGTTTTAAAACTTTCAATAGTGCCTAAGCTTGATGTGTTTCCACTACACTTAACATTTTCAACGTATTTGTTTATTTTAACCTTTGTGCTTGCGTTCCCTCATTTCGTCACCGTCGTTAGTAGTAATTATAATTTTACCTTTAATCCTTAACTTACTTAATGCTTGATATACAAGTACATCTTACAGTGGAAAGTAATTAAAAATTGAAGGATGTTTAAGGGAGTTCCGTCCGCATTCAAAACTCTAGCCTGGAGAAAAACAATCGTCGACCTGCATCGGAAGATTCACTCTAGGACTAGTTTATTCTAGTCATTTAGTTTAAGATCGATTTAAATTATCATTTTTCGCAATATATTTAATAATCTCTGGTTTCTACTCTTTTGTTTGCAAGAGTAATGTACCTACTTTTGAAATCGACAATTTCAACTTCTTTCCAAATTTTTAATTGGAGCCTCCCCTCAGGAGCGTCCTCTTTCGATCAATTTCATTTTTTATATAACTCGGAAACGTTCGTCTTTTTAACAAGTCGAATGACACTTCCACTGGTCCGTTTTATACACCACTCAAACCCAACATCTTTTAATTTCCCAAAAAAAGAGTAGCGATTTTTAAACCTAATCTAATCTTTAACACACGATATTTATCGCGATGCTTTCTACACAAGATAAGAAAATCTTTACAACTGACTCATACTGTACTGGAGGTCACGTCTTGGATAACCCGTGTAAACTTTATGCACTAGTTACTCAGATCTGCAAGGATGAGAGTTCTGGCACAGGTTTTTGCGGTCACCGTGAGTAGCCTCTTAACGGTCATGCTGGGAGCGAGTGTGGGCTATGTTACCATCTTAATTCCCTCCCTAACTGATCCAAACGAAGAAATTCGTATAAACGAAGTGCAAACGTCATGGATAAGTAAGTGAAACCTGTTGTACTTATTTCGCCCGTGCCTTCACTGAGTTTACTTCGCAGGTTCAGTTTCTTTAATAGCATCGCTTATTGGAAGCATTGTATCTGGGGCTACGGAGTACATAGGAAGAAGAAGGTCCATGATCATTTTAACTGTACCAATTTTTCTTTCGTGGGTTACGTACTACTTCTCTTCAGAATTGTGGCACATTTACACCGCCTTAGTGCTGCTCGGTCTAGTGAACGGATTATTTCAATCCGCAGTAAGGACCGCGTACCTTAAAGCATAAAGTAATTCAATAATTGTTTTCGAAAGGTAATGTCTTATATTGCTGAAGTGACAGAGCCTCACCTAAGAGGACTGCTGTGTGGAATCAATTCTCTGTGTCTGGTATCTGGAGTGCTCGTAGAATTTCTTTTAGGTAGTGAGCTGCACTGGCGAAAAGTAGCATTGGTGACTTGCGGTCTACCAGCTCTAACACTATGCCTATTACAAATACTGCCGGAAAGTCCCTATTGGCTTTTGCTTCATAATAAATCGGAAAATGCGTGTAAAAGCCTTGCTTGGTTGAGGGGATGTACAACATCGGAACAGGTCAAGGAAGAGTATCAAGCAATTGAAACCAGTTTAAAACCCAAACAACCCGATAACGAAATGGATTCATCCTTAAGATGGGGAAGCGTGGGGAAGTACACAAGGAAGAGTTTCTTGTGGCCATTTGCGATGATCTGTTGCTTATTTATCTGCTGCAACTTCTCCGGTCCACTTACTTTGCAAGTTTATGGGGTAGTCATTGTCTCAAACTTAAAGGTTCCCATAGGCAAATTCTATGCGACCTGTTTACTCGGTTCTGCCGAGGTCTTGGGTACGATATCGTGCGCCTTCATTATACGTTATTTAGGAAAACGAATTGCCGGATTATCTTCAATATTTGGTGTATTAATCTGCAATGTGGCATTAGGAGTGTATGCCTACACGAATAATATTGTTCGCTTAGAATTCAATGTGGACGATTCGTTGGTGTCAAGTACGCGGGATGCAGGTAAATGGGTCCCCTTGCTAATTGTGATGGTGTTCGCGTTCGTTGGCCACTGCGGTTGCAGAAGCCTGGCGTGGATTCTACTGGGCGAGGTGTTTTCAAGTGATACACGGACTGTGGGATGTGGAGTTGCACCAAGTGCCTATTATATATCTGGATTTGCAGCGAATAAGCTTTATTTGAGCATGATTTCGAGACTAACATTTGCTGGAGTTTACTGGACGTACGCTTGCGTTTGTTTTGTTGGCTTGCTTCTCATCTATTTTGCAGTACCGGAAACTGAAGGGAAGACACTGGATGATATAACGAAACACTTTAGCGGGCAATCAAAGTTAAATAACAAGATTAGAAGACAACAAAACGGTGTTGTTTAGTATACCTACGGATTGCTAACTTTAGCTGTAGTCATTTGAAGTAATCTCTGCCAACCATCTACAAAAACACCAAGAAACCGCAATAAAACAACAGATAATAGCATGAGATGTATTTGATGTAACATGTTTTTGTGTTAAGAGCTCGAAAGAGCAATTTCACTCTCATCTTAGAGCTTTCTTGAAACACAGAGCTTAATTCAATGAAGGAATTAATTCCATTACCTGAAATAAATCCATTCGAAATCGACTGCAAACCGGGTCCGTTAACTTGGCCCCCCCACTGAGAGATTTCATAGTCGTATTATTTTGAAATGAATGCGCTCGTTATGCGCTCTTATGCGCCACCGATAATAACTCTTGGGCCATTATCGTTTTTTAGAAATCCGAAAAAACATTCGGGGGGGGGGGGCTACGGACCCCCCAGTACGTATTTTGTCCCTTGTAACTAAGTCACCTGATACATTTGGTTATGCGCTCAATTGCGCCACTTGAATTAAAGCTAGCGCCATTACGGTTAAGCCGTGACAAATTTTCAAAAAGTGGGGGGCCAACTTAACGTTCTTAAAAATTACTTTTTTTAACATCTTTTCATACGAAATTGTACTCTCAGGTATGCGCTGAAATGCGCCGTAAAAAGATATCTTTGCGCCATTATTGTTTTTTGGTTATCCTAAATACAAATTTTTAAAAACCTACCTATTTTACTTTCTCAGAATCGTTTAACTAAAGCTCCCAAAAAACACCCTGTATAGTGTTTCTGAAACACTATAATGGCGCCAAGATTTTTGTTTACGGCGCATTTTAGCGCATGATAGCGCATGATGAAAGGTACGATGTAGTAGAAAAAACATGTTAAAAAACGTAACTTTTGAAAACGTTAAGTTAGCCCCCCCCCTTTTTAAAATTTTTTTATGGCTTAACCGTAATGGCGCTAGCTTTAATTCAAGTGGCGCAATTGAGCTCATAACCAGATGTATCAAGTGGCACAAATACCGGTAGCAAAATGCGTTACGGGGGATTCCGTTCACTTGGCCCCCCCCAAATATATTTAAGGATAACCAAAAAACAATAATGGCGCAAAGATATCTTTTTACGGCGCATTCCAACGCATACCTGAGAGTACAATTTCGTATGAAAAGATGTTAAAAAAAAGTAACTTTTAAAAACGTTCAGTTGGCCCCCCCGCTTTTTGAAAAATTGTCACGGCTTAACCGTAATGGCGCTAGCTTTAATTCAAGTGGCGCAATTGAGCGCATAACCAAATGTATCAGGTGACCTAGTTACAAGGGACAAAATACGTACGGGGGGGGCTACGTTCACTTGCCCCCCCCCCCAATGTTTTTTCGGATTTCTAAAAAAGGATAATGGCGCAAGAGTTATTATCGGTGGCGCATAACGAGCGCATTCATTTCAAAATAATACGTCTATGAAATCTCTCAGTGGGGGGGCCAAGTTAACGGACCCCTGCAAACCAGTTGAGAACAATTATCAGTCCATTTAAAATTTAGAGAAAATTCCGTTCTTTTGGGGGTGCTTGTTTGGCCTCTTAGCGGTGATTGTGCAATGCTAAAAATAAGTTCCAGCTGCATCAACAAACAATTTGCCCAAAGCTCTATCCTTGAATTATTATTAATATACATAAATACGAGCATAAATATAAATTAATTATGAATATTATATTATTAATATAAATTAAACAAATCACTTATTCTGAAATCACCACACGTGTATGTATAAATATATAACGACGCTTTCAAGTTGAGGTAATCAAAATTAAATATTAATGAAACAAGGAAACTGCAAATTAATTTTTAGATCTGTGTGTATCGCAGTAGTACCGTAGTAATTAATTCTGGTCTTCGCAACAGCTAGCAATTCTAGGCGAGGAATTGATATTTTCTTTCTTCCGATAGGTTCCACCCTAGCTACCAGCAAATGAACATAACCTCTTTTTTTTGTGCTACACCGCAAAACAGAACTGCTGCATACGTATCTTTAGAAGCATCAGCAAATATGCAGCCAATATGTAAAAATATTTCCTTTGAATGTAATCCTTCAATTATGACATAACGAAGAATCTCAATTTTCGAAAGATTTGGTAAATGGTGGACCCAACTTCTAAACTTGTCGGCTGTCTCATCTTCTATTTCGATATCCCATAAAATATTTCTCTCCCACAACGTTTGTAACCAGAACTTTGGTAATAGGGTTGCCGGAGAGCTGTATCCTATTGGGTCAAAAACCTTTTGCGTCATCCAGTAACTTTCTTTTTGTTACGACCATATTTTCTGTCTCCAGCTTTATCAAATTTGGGTTTAACGTTAAAACATTTCGATTCGGGTGCCACGTAAGTCCAAGAACTCTCACGCTACCATCTCTTATTTATTTTATCTCTTTATTTATATGCATTGTTTGAAGTTTGAACCGGCCATCCCTGCTACTTTGTTTTGGATACGGCTACTGCAATAATTCATATCATTTTAAGGTGTTTTCTTTAAAATAGCCATACAAGAAATCCTCGGTAATAATTTCTGTGGGTTACAATGAAACATAAAAACCGAGGTAAACCAATGAGCGTCGTAAACGCCACAATCAAAATCAGAGTCGAGGAGATACCAGTAAACCATCATCAGCCGTTTATGAGAATCACTTGTTGAAATGCCCGGAGAACTACAAGGAATACTTCTCTTTTGAGCTCGCGCTTATATAATTTCGGGTGGAATGTTTTTCGTGAAACCACTAAAGAAGCAAACGTGGGTAACACTTCCAGCTGCGTATAGGTGAGGAAAATTCTCATCTTCCTCCAATGTCCGCGTGTTCACATTCTCAGCGAGTGCAACTTCAGGTACACCATTGTCTTGGGAATAGCTTGACACCACAGAATGGGGATGGCGGATATCTAATGGTCAACTGACCACGATACAAGGCATATTACCTCCAGCAGTTGACAAGCTTTTACATGTCATTACATATAATTATTGTACCGTATGAGGGAAACTGCGACTTCGCCCGAGCAAAGTTTTGGCCTTCTCTCTCTCTGCAGGATGATGAGGATGTTGAAGATGCGGAAACAGAATTCCTTATTCTATCCGCTTTCAAATTTTCCATACGTGTTCCTTACTTTATCTGTGCAGGAAAAAATGTGTTCTTTGTTTAAATTGAACTTTTAAATTAGTATGTGGGTATTAATTATAAATATGCTCCAAAAACAATCGGACCCAATATTAAAATTTTAAGAGTTTATTCGAGCGGATTAATTATTTATTGTATTTGCCGTTGAAAAATTACTAAAGTTTCAAATAAAGAGCCTTAATGCTATGAATTATTACAGGAGTTATTATTTAGGATAACCATTGTCGTTCTGAACAATTGTAGACCACAGCCACAAAAATCGGTGACCAGAAAAGCAACCAATCCTTTACTTATATAAGATAACCATTTAAACTGAATAAGAGGAAATTTTCATTTGCCTGGAGCCATCTTCAAACCTACTTTACTAACACTTGAGGCGGGCCCATTCTTCTGTACAAAGGCCAAAAGCTTGCCAATCCTTACACTGTAGGTAGTAATCCTTTTGGTGTACACGTCACACTGCTACATTTCTGCGATTAAAGACTTTTCGGAGGTGTCACTTTCTAAAAACGAGCTGTAAATCTCCAAGTTGATCGCAACAAAGTCTTCAATTTTGAGTTTAAAGCACTCCCAAGTCACTTCTACTTCTTCACGTATTGTCGGCTTTTTTTAAATAAAGTATCTAATTCACTAGAGACTTTGTTATACATGAACGAAGTACTTTTCTGTGCTTTGTCTTGGTTTCAATCACCTCATCCATATTACAGAATTATTATTGCGAGCTTGGAAAGTACACAATCTAGGATAGGTGTCAAAGCTTTTATGCTATTTATGACCAACTTCTACAGAGTATTTAGATATCACAATTCACCTCAGTCCTGTCCCAGTCGCCAAAAGTGTTAAATTCATACGATTATCAAATACAACGGGCATTCTTTTATCTGTCATAAAACAACTATTTTTCCACAAAGCACGCTCACATTAACATAATAGAGAGGGTAGTGGATTATTCGAAAAACAGACATCTGCCGATGGGTAGACATTTCCTTTGGAAAGGGCTGCAAAGCTAGCTGCTGCTGGGATCGGCAGATCAACAAATTTCATAACCAAAATTATGTTTGTGTGCAGTGGCCAGTGTGTCATTCTGTAGAGGCAAAGCCAAACTTGCCGATGATGGGACATTGAAATCTCCTTCAAAGAAACGACGAAGTGGGTTACATTTTTAGACAAAACCTACATCCATCCATCTTATATGAACCTGGTTTACGTAAAACTGACCGAAGCAGGAGGATCATATGGTTTCGTTGATAACGCACTTCTCACCTTCAAATCGAAAAGCAAGTTCGGAGATTACCACGACGACATGAATCATAATAATTTCATGAGATGACTAATTCCAAATTTGCCTCCAAATGGGATTGCCGTTGTGGACAATGCACCTTACCACGGGGTTCTAAATAACAAACCACCAACACAGGTAACAGGTAAAGCAAGTATGGGGGAACAGTTGGACAATAACGGAGTATCAAAAACCAACGTACAAATATAATAAATAAAATGTTTGAAAACTGGAAAAAGAAAAAGTACAGTCAGTGTCAGTAGTATTAGGCGGTAAATTTCAACACTATTGACACTGAATGTACTAGTAAAAAACAGCGCTACCAAATCATCGCCTTCTCGACAGACTCGTTTGGTTAGCTTGCCCAAGTTGCTGGAGTATATTTTGCATTAAATATCTAAATAAGGTTTTAGTTCTTTACTTAACGCTCACAATATACCAACATTGTAAGCAAATTGTTTATTTTAATAGTCAATGGTAAAAGAATTCTCAATAAAAACAACTTTTAACAATATCCTTATGGTAATTACAGATTATCCAATCGTATCTGCATTTAATAGTTTTTTTTATAAGCAACTAAGCGCTTATCTTTTAATTTTATTTTTCTGCAATTAGTGTACTCGCCTTAAATAGAATGCTAATGTTGGATTGATGTTAATAGCGACGGTCGGCCATGAAATTTACCTGCAAATCCAAAATGTCTTGCAAAATGAAAGCTTTATCGCAGGTGATTCCTGTATTAGTCAAAAATTTGTTATTGTTTTCTTGTGGAATGTGTATAGGTTATGTAGGCATTTTGATTCCAACGTTCACCGACATAAATACAAGTGAATCTATTCGCATGGACGAAGGACAAACGTCGTGGCTTAGTAAGTTTTAATCATGTACTTACGTTTCTTCACAGAAATTAACTGTTAGGTGCAATTATTTCAATTCCGTCCCTTATTGGATGCGCGTTGTCTGGATATTTAACAAAACCATTTGGGAGGAAACGCCCGATGATCATGTCGACAATACTGTATACTATTGGATGGATTTCGTTGTACTTTTCTGCAGAGATGTGGCACGTCTTTCTTAGTTTATCCCTGCTTGGGTTAGTTGCTGGACTTAGCGAGGCACCTGTAAGGCGTACACAATTTTATCTCCACTGTAACTTTGTTTAGGTTATGGCGTACGTTGCTGAAATAACGGAACCCCACTTGAGGGGAATCTTGTCGACGTTATCACCACTGGCGGTCGTTTCTGGAGTTTTTGCGCAGTTCGTCATTGGTGGCTTTTTACACTGGCGAATTGTTGCACTGATATCATGCGCGGTTCCAATCTTTAACTTTTTTTGTTTACTTGCGATGCCCGAGACACCGTATTGGTTATTGTTCCACAATAAGTTGGAGGAAGCCCGAAAAAGTCTGGCGTGGGTCAGAGGCTGGACGACAGTTGAAGATGTAGAACAGGAGTTGAGGGAAATGGAACAATTCGTCAAGGAAAAATTATGCCGTGTCGACCACCAGACTAAAGATGGTGGTAAGCGACTTTGCGAGAAGTATTTCCGGAAGAATTTCTTGTGGCCCTTTTCTTTAATTACTGTGTTATTTTTTATTTTGTGTTTTAGTGGTGTGCTAATGTTACAAATCTATGGTGTGGTTATTTTTGCCACATTGAAGGTACCTATGGATAAATATTACGCAGAAATGCTAATGGGTTTGTCCCAACTCTTAGGAAGTATGGCTAGTGTCTTTGCCGTTCGAATTTGTGGAAAACGCGTTATGGCATTTGTAACTATAGGCGGATTATTTGTTCTTAACTTCTGCTTCGCAACTTACGCATATGTGGCAAACATAGAACGTCTAGATTTTGCTGGCGTAGATACATCCTCATCATCATCATCATCGGAATATATGGCGTGGATCCCCCTGGTTCTTGTAATTTTAATATCATTTGTGGGTCACTGTGGGCCTAGGGTATTACCTTGGATTATGATGGGAGAGATCTTCTCAAATTATATGCGCGCCGAGGGTTGTGCGTTCACTGGCTGTATGTACTACATACTATTTGCTGCAGCATCAATGGGGTATTTGAACATGATATCAACATTGACATTCTCAGGTGTTTATTGGACCTATGCCGGTGTATGTTTTTTTGGAATTGTTTTTGTATACTACTATGCTCTACCCGAGACAGAGGGAAAAACATTAGTAGATATTTCGCATCATTTCAGTGGACAAGAAAAGTTAAGCAATAAGGTGAACAGAAAAAGCATTTCAGCGCCCTCCCCTTCATCAGCACTAGGACCGGTCTAATACACCGGTAATGAATGATCGAAATCACTTCAAGGTTTTACTCAAATGTCGCTAATTATTAATTATTGACTTTAAGGCCCACATGCCAAATGACAACCACACGTTCTTATGAAAGTTCCATTTATAGTAGATCTCTAGCAATTTACCGATCGTTGACATTTTTGGCAGTAATAAAAAGCACGCGTGCACTTAACTTGTATTATCGGTCATATTTTTTTTTAATTAACCATAACTACCTTTGTTAAGTGAACACAAGAATTGAAAGAAGATGACTCAACGGTTACCAGAAATTCAATTTTCTTCCAGTCATATCTTTAAATAGTAATAAATTGGTTCTTATTATCTTTAAAAAACATATAAGATATAACTGTGTATTTTTATGTTCAAAGTACTTATACGAAAGGTGTTGTTACAAAAGCGAAAAGCGGACTGTAATTTTGATTAATGTTTTAGTGATAAAATAATAAAAAAATGACTTACCCCCAAATATTTTGTCTCTATGATCTTTACACAAATTAAAGGATCGGAAAGAAAGGATTTGTGTGAAATTGACGTATACAAGTATCACAATAATTAATACAAAATGAAATTGAACTTCATGCAGTTGGCGTGTGTAGCGTTGAACGAATATTCGGCAAGTGAGTTTTAAAACTGCACTCTGCGCTGCACCTAGAGATAATAAAATAGGCAAAGCGATAAAATAAATTTTAAATTTTTATATTTAACATACTACCCCCCTAATTTTGAAAAAAAATTAACAATATTTTGCAAAATGAGAAAAAATAAAAATTATTACAATTAAATTATTATTGGCGATATTTACACCCCTGGCAAAGGGCAAAGTTTTA